ACAGCGAATTTCGAAATTTATTATTCTCGTTCGTATTCTGTTACGATTTAATTATTAGCTTTATTTTTTTTCCGAGCTATGTCGTTACTCTTATTCCATAGAAAAAAATCTCTTTTATCGACTTTTTCGATAATTAATTATGAGATATGAATATTTCTCGATTACTATGTAAATGAAGTAAATAAAGTTTTACTTGTGTGATCAGAAAAGAGAAAAACATTGTTTTTCGTATTTATTGTTATATCGAAAAAAAGAATCTATACATTTATAAACATACTAATCGATTTTTATAATTTTTATTATAAGGTAAGTGTTTTATGATTGATTTTAAGAAAAATGATTATACTTTTTATAACACCCATATTCATTTCATATTTTCACTTTTCTTTCTTCCTCTAACGTTAACAATTCACAAAGTATTTTATATTCCCACTTAAGGTATACCCTCCACTTGGCAAAACGCATACGTGAATTTTAATTAGAATCCATTATCAATGATTATACATTAGCATAAGAGTTTCGTGACTCGTTGGTTATCACGACACGTCTTTGATTAAAGTTATTATATTTTTATGCTTGATTTATGCTCGACTCTTGTTGACGAAGTAGGCCGATGATATAGAATAATTACAAGAACTCACTTTCTTAGATATCTGCACCTTTTTTACAATGCAAATAACATAATAATTAAATCGATAATGATTGTAATATTTTCTTTAAAAATTCATATTTCAAATTTTAAACGAAGAAAATTTCCAAATAAATAAACAATAATCTCTATAATTTATTTTCCTTTTTTTCTTTGATTAATCCGATGTTCAAGGATGTACAATGAGCTAGCTATTCTTAAAGAAACGAATGATTAAATTCCGAGAAAGAAGCGTGCAAAAATGTTTAATCCTAGATAAAAGAAGTTTAGAATGTTAACGGCGTTTGATATAACTATTATCGACGTCACTGATGCAGTCAGGTGTTCGGTTTAAGCCAGGAAAGATATCGTGAGAATTCAGAGTAATGGAAGTCATACGTCTCTACAATTTATTGGAATATCAATGTGCCTCCAAGACCACTCTCGTCGTCTCTACCACCCTCGCTACTAACACCGTTGTCGGAAACATGAACGTAACACCCAGCGTCGAGGGAGAATACGTATTTCAATGTAGACTTGATGCTGTACGATATGAGAAGATTTTATCATTCTAAGAAATGAACAGAAATGAGGGTATGAGAGGAGTACTGTTGTACAGAAACAAGTGGATAGTTTATGGGATGAGTTTGTTCGGATGTTTGTTAATATTCCAATAAGACATCTTCATATAATTTACTTTGTCCCGTCGTGCTACTTGAAAAATAAGAAATCCATACGCGTAGATTACGCGTGAGCATATTGATGATTTACAAATTTTAATAAAGATTGTTTAAATCAGATCATTTTCTTTTGTGATCGATAAAAAATACATTGAAATGGACGGTCAACTATGAAATACATAGAAACTGAGAGCTTAACGTTGGAACGATTTTACCGATAGAGGATTTTTTGTTGGATGGTTTGTCGAAGGTACCCGATCTCTTCAATGGCTTTTACATTGGAAGAAAAACGAAGGCCATTTTTCCAACGAATCATGGGATTTCAAATATTTTTCATTCTTTTTAGAAAACTCGAGTGATCTGATCGATGGGTTGAGAGAGAGAAAGAGAGAGAGAGAGAGAGAAGGGAGGGATGGAAAAGGAAAAAAAAGGATAAAAAAGAAAGAAACAGAGAGACAGAGAGAGAGGATAGAGAAGAAAAAATATGGATAAAAAAGAGAGAAAGAAACAAAGAGAGAGAGAGAGAGAGAGAGAGAGAGAGAGAGAAAGCATCGTTGGTAAAGTGACTTTTTCTGACCTTGTCTCTGATCTCCTGTCGCATCTTTTCTCGTTCTTCTTCCATTTTGCGGTGTTTCTCTTTCCTCCTCTCCTCGGCTTCCCTGATGGCTTCTTGCCTTTCCCTTTCGGCTTCCTCCTCCTTTTCCTTGTCATCTTCGTCTCCTCCTTCGCCACCGACCGCTCCTAAACAAAAAAAATTTTCATTAATATTGTAAAATGATTTGTTAAATCATATGTTAAGAATATTCGTTCCATTTTTATTATTTTAAAAATGTGCAATTATTCAGATTCATTCTTTTAACGTGTATTTAAAAATTCATATTTTAATAATGATTACTAATTAACGATCGACGAATTGAATTCCCTCATGTCAAGAACGATCGTTTACGCATATTCAAACGTAAATAGCAAATAATGGTCCTTATATTTTATTCATCGTTCGTACGTTGTATTACTTCCTACGCCTTTGGTAAACCACAAGTATCTTACAATTAGTTACAGTTAATAGACGAACACCGATACGGCGGTATCCTTAGGGAATAGAGTCGATAAATGGTCTTGCTTACCATCAACACACCATTCTCCTTGAACACTGTCTTTCAAATTAACTAGCTATCCTTTATTATCTCTCTCTCTCTCTCTCTCTCTTTCATTCCCTTTCTATTAACCTCATATATACTTCCTAGGGTCCATTGAAGTAATTAAAATATTCGTTTGGATTATTCGAATCGGTTTGTTAAATTTGTACATATCTGCGACGAGTAATTACAAAACTAACAACTAAGAAGAAATTGAATTGTTTACACTTTAGTGTGTAAATACCGACTAATGGTTTTGAGTTAATTTAGCGTGTAAATGTGGCTAGATAAATAACAATAGGTATATATACACATACGCGTATGGATACATATATATTGAGTGTAATAACAATGTAAACATAATACTGTCGGTAATCAATACATTTTGATTTGTTATTAAAGGTATTTCCGGTTTATTTTAAAGCGATCGTTTAATTTTGTGTTTCGTTCTTTACTTTTTCTTTCCTGTATGAAACTCTTTATTAATGATTTAAATTTAAGAATTATTCGTTTGTCGAGACGATACTCGTCGTATATTCAATACTTCTATTAAATCTTCGATGTATGATTTTTTTTGTAGACATTTTGAAAAAAGATATATATATATATATAATAATAGTAGCTATTAAATAAATATTAAAATGGGAATAAAGAAAAGATCATATTATGTATAATTCTTATTTTACGAGATATAATGAAAAAAATATTAATATATTGTAATTATGTGATCATATAAAAAATTAAAAAAGAAAAATAAAAGAATGTTCACAAAACGTAAGATGATATTAAAGATGATATTTCATTGCTGTAAGAGAACGAACGTAATCGAATGCATTTATATCTTTCATGTATTAAAGCGGTTTCGTTTTATAGAAATTGACAAGAACAGAGAACGTTCTCTCGTGATAATATCGAGAGAATCGTGAACGAGGAAGACTGGAAAAGAGATCGAAGAGTAAGAAGGGAAAAGCAAAGGGCTCTCTTCTTCGTCGTCTGGCGGAGAAGGATGTGCCAGAAGCCCGAAGGCTCGAGGAAATTAATACTACTTCTGTCTCGGCAATGTCTACTCTCTCTCTCTCTCTCTCTCTCTTTCTCTCTGTCTTCCTCTGCCTTTTTCTTTCTGCGGTCTCGTCGTTCCTTCTATTTGAACTCGTTCTTTCTATTTTACAGCACACAGTACTTTGATGTCCAAACCTAGGCACAACTATTTTCACTCGACTCGCTTTTTGGCTCTCTTACTCCTATTTCCCTTCCTTCTTTCTCTCTCCCTATTTCTCTCTCTAACTCTTTCCTTCTCTTATCATCGTCGACTACTCTCGACGAGTTGTCTTAGCTTTAAGCGATATCTCTCACAGGACTTGCATTTCGATTCGACGGACCTTTAACCTCAAGCGATGTAACATGTTTCATCCCTTTTCAAATATGATCTTTATCGTTTTTTTTATACATAAGTTAAAAATTCTGTATTATGACATGTAACGATAAAAATTATAAAAATTCGAAATAAGCGAAGGATTTTATCATATTACTTTTGATTATGCGTCGAAGTGTAATAAAAAAAGTTCTACGTTGTTTACAAATCTGTTAAAGAATTAGAAAAGATAATGTTATTTTATAATTAATACGATCGTGAAAATAAAGTATAATAACGATAGTCGAAGGGAATTTATTTCGATTGAATGAGATTCTTTTGTTCTTATCAACTTTCAGTAGTAATTCTAGATATTAATCGTACACAGAGGATCGACCAATAAGGAGACGTATCATACTTCTTTGAGTACACATTCAATTATGTGTATATAAGTTTTTTGTTCTGTATTTTACATTGTGACGTTTTAGGATAAGAACATAATAAAAATCCTTAAGGATTTGGTTATGTGATGAAGTGTAATAAAACGATTTACATTGTTTACAAATGTAAAAGGATGAAAAGATAATGTTATTATTTTATAAGCAATACTATCGCAAAAGTATAGTATAATAACGACAATCAAGAGGAATCTATTTTAATGGAATGAGATTATTTCGTTTTTATCAACTTTCTGTAGTAATTCTAGATATTAATTGTACACAGAGGATCGGCAAAAAAGGACACATATCATCCTCTTTCGAATACACATTCAACCGTTGTGTATACATGTTTTTCCTTTGTATTTTGCATTGTGACGTGCTACGATAAGAACATAATAAAAATCCTTAAGCGAAGGATTTATCATATTACATTTGATTATATGTTGAAGTGTAATAAAAAGATTTACGTTGTTTATCAACCGTTGTGTCTATATTAGTTTTTCTTTTTTTTTTTTCGCATTTTGCATTGTGACACGCAACGATAAGAACATAATAAAAATCCGTAAGCGAAGACTTACGTTGAAGTGTAATAAACAGATCCACGTTGTTTACAAATTCATAAAAAGATTGAAAAAGAATACTGTTGTTTTTATGATCATTTCGATCACGAAAAGTAAGTATAATAATGATAATCAAAGAAATCTATCTCAATAAAATGAGATTTTATTTATTTTCAAGTAGAAATCCAAAATATTAGTCAGCCATAGACGAACGACGAAAAAGAACGTCGCAGTGCGATGGAAATGCGGCCGGTGATACGGAAAGGAGGACAAATCGCATTTTCAAGGTACATACTTGCTTGCACATTTCTCTTCGTCTATTTTATTCCTTTTATTCTTTTCGAGAGAGAGAGAGAGAAAGAGAACACGCGGTCGAGTTTTTCAGCAAAGTTCCTCGATCGAGATCGTAATGCGGCCCATCTGGTAGCGGTTGGCCTGTCACGGTTCCATGCTGTCGCACATTCGAAAGGACGATAATGGCGGTGGTCCAAGAGCAATTGTCCTTTCTCTGTAAACGACGCGGCGAGACACAACGTGGCTCGTTCGCACGGATATTACCGAAAATCTACGTTAAGACCGTTTCTCGATTTTACGAATTCAAACGTAAAATCATTCGTTTAACTTTCTTTCGTCGTTTACGATATGTTTTATTCTATTTCTATTTTTCGTTTATTCGATATTTAATATGATATTTAATTCCATTTGTCAAACTAATTGTGTAGAAATTAATATACTCATGTAATATCATATATATAAGCTTTTGTATATTGAAAATACAAGAGAATTTATTGTCATCGTTTTCAAATCAGATTTTATTCTTATTGGGAAATCTTTATAATATTATAAAAGAAATTTTGAAAGTATTTTATGTAAAAGTCTGTAAAATTAAAAGCCAGCCGTCGTTTAAACATTTAAACGTTTTTATATATGTACGTCGAAATGTATTTTTCTAATTGACAAGACTTTTCATTCTATCATAATTAAATTGATCTTTTTTTTCGTATAAAAATGTACTTCACAAAATTACAGAATTATGTGTGTCTATGTGTTATTTTCTATATATATATACATATAAATTTTGTAATTTTTTTTTCGACAGAATAGATTGAAAACACGTCGAAAGAACATCGGGATTTATATATATCCGTATGTGTGTTATGAAATATAACAAGAAGAAAATACTAGTGTGGATCATGTTCTTTCCATATTACGAATTTTTTTTCAAAAAGATGTACTTTTTCCGTACCCCTTGTAAATGGGAAAGAATAGAGGGAAATCTCCATGCTTGTGATTTTGTGGGATAAAAAAAGATAAAAAAAGGTAAAAAAAGATAAATATATTATTGGTATGTATGTAATGTATTATGTTTATTATATCTACTTTTGAGATAGAATAAAATTCTATATAGAATAAAAAGGAAGAATAGCAGGTTGATACAAAATAAAAATATATACACATATGTAATTTTAAATAAAGCGTTAATAAAACGTATCCATCGGACTTAGGTGAAAGTGATAAAGATTCACTCTTTCACCGTCTTTGTACAATTAATAAGAAATAATTTATATCTATGACCAAACTAAAATGAGTCTCGATTCATTTCCAGTATGTATAACGTACCTTTTTCTACGATTAATTACGTAACGCTAATTGGAATAATCCAGGAAGCAGCTGGTCAATGGTAAGAGCTTGAAAAGTCAATCCCAAAGGAAAGAGAAAGAGAGAGAGAGACAGACAGAGAGAGAGAGAGAGAGTGAAATAAATGAGCGACATAGAAAAGGATACAAATCGTGGTATTTTCTCGTCGAGGATCGAGGCTTGTGAGCCGATGAGGAAGAATTACTTACGATTTTCATCTATCTTCGACTCTTTTCCACATCCCATTCTTTATCTATCTCTTTCCCTCTTTCGTTTTGTCTTCTGCTACCTCTTAGAGATCGTACGGAATCGTTCTCGTTTGCACGAGGTATTAAGAAACGCTTTGTGGTCTTTCCCATGTGGAGTTAATGGAGAGACTTACAAACCGATCGATCGATCGATCGATCGATCCCTTTACCTTTCGAAATTTTGGTCTTTCCTTTTTTATTTAATCCATTCTTTTTCTTTTGGTTTTCTCTCTCTTTTTTTTATTCTATCTCTTTGCATTACCTCCCAGATATAATCTTTCCACTCGTTTACGTACAAATCGTAAATACATAAGTGAATACACGATTGTATTTGCTTCCTTTTCTGTTCTATTGAAGCTCTTTTTAAAGTCACAATAAAGCAAATTGCACGGTCAAACAAATCAAATCTATTTTACTGTACATATGATAAAGCCTGTCTTATTATTGCGATCACGTCGTATCCATGAAACACGATGTTTTACACACCAATTCTTTCATTTGTTTAATTTCTTGGTTTCGTGGATCATCGTTATAAGAGAGATTTAGATAGATAGATAGATAGATAGATAGAGAGAGAGAGAGAGAGAGAGAGAGAGAGAGAGAGAGAACATTCTCGATTTTAGCATAAAGAAATCGTAACGTAAAAACAGCGTTTCATTGATATCGTATGTTTAAAGAAGAGAAAAAAGTGGATAGGTATTTGTGCTCTCTGCGTCTATGTGAAAGAAAAAGAAAACGAATATTCCGCAATGCGGAATGTTCGAGCGGACGGGCATCTGTTCTTGAGTATTACGGAAAATGTCGAGCAGTTTTTAAATTACACAGAGATATACATACTTACTTACATATATATATACATACATACATACATATATATATATATATATATGTATATATTCACACACTCACATATATATATATATATACAGACATCGTTCCCGAATACTCTGATGGAATTTTCTAATTAAATTATGAGACAAAATTATCAAATAAGGAATTTAATTGCTGTCACAGCAAAATCCGATAGCTCGTTTTCTTTTAACACATCGAGAATCCTCTTCTCGTCGATTAATATTTGCAGAGGCACGAAAGAAAATATCTCGAAGAATCCGACCTTCGTCAGTTTCTATGAATCGATATCGAAGAATTCTATTGGAATGTTTACTCGCGTAAAACGAAAAAATAGAAAGGAAGAGAGAAAGAGAGAGAGAGAGAGAGAGAGAGAGAGAGAGAGAGAGAAATAGTCTACGTTTTCTTTCGTTTTTTTTTCCTTTTTTTTTCTTTTTTTTCTTTTTGCGCGCGAAACTCTTCGTAAAATTTGTCGCGCGGACTATGTATGTACGAGAATTTGAATTCCTTGCGTTCCACTTTTATTTGACAGTATGAAATTCCATCTGAGGTTGTGTCCGAGGTTTCCGTGCTTTTTCGTTGGACCTTCGTATCTAACTTTTATTTCATCCAAACTTGTCTGGATCTTTACTTTAGACGTTTTCAAGTACGTACGAAGTTCTTTTTTTTTCTCAAAGAAAAGGAAAAAAAAGTTGTAAGGAAGAGTTGTCAAATTCGTATGGGTATAATTTTAATAAGACAATTCACAGGTACTTTTATCGTTTTATAAAATTTCATTTCATTAATTATGAATTCAAATTTAATTTCTATTTAATTGAAAAATTTGTGCCGAATATAAAATATAAAGTAGAATATTTTTTAACCGAGTATCACCTTTGACAATTTATTTACGATAAAAATGAAAATTAAAAAAGAGAAACGATCACAATCGATATAAATTATTGTCTTTTTCTATGTTCTTGATTTATATTCTTTCTTGGACGTTTGTTTTAAAAATACAAATCAGATTTAAGAAATGTTTGATCTAACATTTTCTTCAACTTAACTCAACCGACATAAGTGGTATATTTTTTTTGTCCGTACACTTTCGATGTTCAAAAGACGATAATATAACATCTCTTTTTCTTGACTGTCGTTTGAAAAAGAGAAAGAAAGAAAAAGAGAAAGAGAAAAAGAGAGATAAAGAGATAGATAGATAGATAGATAAGTAGATAGATAGAGAGAGGGAGAGAGAAAGAGAGAAAGAGAGGGAGAGAGAGAGTGGGAAAACGATATAAACGTTGATCCCAAAGAGAAATCTGAAAGGAGCCGTTTGTTAGAACGCATGTCGCCATGTGTGCGTTCGACGTGGCGGAAGTATTGATAACTTGTTCCGTGAAAAAGCTATATTTCATCCCTCTTTCAAAACCAGAATCAACTACTTTTACTCTCTTTCGCATTAGTTCTTCTTTCTGGTTTTCGAATGTTTTCTTCTCGAATTTCTGGAATTGTCGATATCGTTAAAAAGAAAAAATTCTCGATTTAATACGTTAATCAATATTAAGTAAAAGAAAAACAAAAACGTATGACGTGCGTACTATGTTATTAAAAAAAAAACTTTTAATAAGTTAATTCAATTAATTTTAAAGAAATATACGACAAACGTAATAATATAAATTAGCAATGTGCGATATTAAATTTGATGTTAAATTTGTTATTTATGTATAAATTGTATATACAGACAAAGAGATATACGTACAAAATATAACCATAAGGAGTGAAAAGAGATGAGAAAGAGAGAGAATGAGTTAGTTCTTCGTTGTTACTATTTCACGAAACTCGAGTTACAAAGAGAGAGGGAAAGCAACTGAGGAAGTGAGCTCGGTAGACTCCGCGAAGTAGGCAAGTTTCGTAGGAGAAGCGTTAGCCGAGAACCAATTACTTTGATAAATACATAGAGAATGGATGCTAATGAGAGAGGCGAATAGTCTCGTCACACGGAATTAAACCCGTTCGTGTTGAACATCTCATCGATGCCTTCTTATTTCATAAATCTCGTCGTAAATGATTTGAGCAAGAGAGAAATATATACTATCGAGATCAAACTTCGAACGTTTTCACAAAACAAATATAAACAAAGTAATAAGTTCTAAATGTATTGAACGATTGATATAAAAAAGAATAAAAATCTTTTTTGTATAAATACGTATTTTCTGTTATCCATTAAATAATGAACAATTGGAAATATTAAGTCATATTATTTCTATCGAAATTCACCATTTAAAAATTCATCAAATTTTCCTAGAGATACGTGAGAGTTTTCGATCAATCAAAGAAAGAATTTGTTATTTCGTAATCCGACTAACGTCAGGTAGATACTTAATTGCAATATATTACGTTCATTTCAAAGTCACCTTTCTCTCTTTTTCTCGATCTTCTTCTTATTTTCTATCGACGTATTTCTCGTCGGTCGGAAAATTCACTTGTAAGCGCGTAATTCGCTCGTTTCGTTCGGTCCAAGCGGTTTTCTAGGTATCGGTTAATTCGAACGAGCGGGCTCATGCAGATTGCAGCCCGATGGAAGAGCTTGTGGTACTGATGGAAAGTAAGAGAGAAAGAGAGAGAAAAAGAGAGGGAGAGAGAGAGAGAGAGAGAGAGAGAGAGAGAGAGAGAATCGAACTGCTCGTTTTCTCCTCGTAACGATGTCCGTTTCTCTTCTCTTCTCTTTCTCTCAAATACACATACACATACATTTATACACACATACATACACGCACATGCACATACACACATACACACACATACAGACACTTTCATACACTTTTCATTTCACTACCATGTATTCTATACAGCGTTTGAAATAGACGTAAACTTGTTTCGCTATCGAGCCAATGGCATCTGCGGGTCACTGATTGGACGCCAGATAGTTTCATCCTTTTATCACTTCTATACGTTGGAAAAGGTGCCACGTGCTCTTCTAAAATGCAGTTTAAATGCAAATCTGGTCAGTACGTTCGATAATGACGCTCGTTGGAGAGATCGAAGACGAATCGGATAAATGAAATTCATTCTTTTATCTC